AAAAAAATGGGAGATAAATAAAAGAAAATAGTCTTGTTTTTTATTGAGAAAAAAATCATTACATGAAAAGTTCGTAATATTTTTATTAGGTCACTTAGTTAAGAAAACCGACTTTATTTCTTTTTATTGATGACGTTTCTTCTTCCAGTACTTCTAGTAATTTCTTGTTTATTGTTTTTCCAACATTTCTTGCACTCTGTTGAAGAATTAGTTGTTTTAAAGCATTAATTATTAGTAATTTCAATATCCAAAGGAAACCTCCGTAAAGGCCGGTTTAGATGGTACAATTTCGCCTACGACTATCACATACAACACCCTCGGGCCATCCTACAATTCGAGTTGTAGCGTGTAAATCAAGCCTACAACTCGCCTACGACAGAGGTGAGGTTGTTGTATACGATAGTTGTAGGCCAAAGTCGTACTGTCTAAACTGGCCTTAAGGCTGCATTCATCATCTTTGCAAGAGATGGTGAGGTAATATTTTTCATTACTATCTAACACTTTGGTCTTTACTCCCCTTTAACTACCAGATCCCATAAATTCAAACTCCCCCACCCCCCCCCCCCCCCCCCCCCCCCCCCCACCCCTTTGGCATACGTGATGAATGAAGCCTTAACCACCTCATGATAGAAGGAATATGTTATGAGAAAGTATGAGAATAAATATTTTTAACTTGGATGTAATGTTTTTCCGATTTCAAACCCTTTGAAATGTGATGATTGGATACTTAATAAATGATTGTATGGATAAATAGAGTGGATGGATGGATAAATGGATAGGATGGAAGGGTGAATGGATGGATGGATGAATGGATATGGATGGATGGATTGATGGATGGATATGGATGGATGGATGGATGGGGATGGATAGATGGATGGATGGATATGGACAGACGGATGGACAGATGGATGGACAAAGGGATGGACGGACGGATGGATGGGCAAATGGATGGATGAGTAGATGAATGGAAGTATAGAATCATGAATGAATGAATGATTGGTTGGATTGATGAGAGGAGAGGGATAGATGGGATAGATAGACAGACAGATTGTTTGGTGGATAAACTAGCCCACTCTACTTACATCTAACATTTCTAATATTGTCTGAGGGTCCATTCCTCCAGCACCTATCTTCTGTTGACTACAAATGTTACCAGAACCATTGACAGACACTAAAAGATGACAGTCACTACAAGCCTCCTCTTCCATACTGGCATCAACTACATGCCGTAAACCAATCTAGAATCAAAATAATAAATGATACATGGGAWGCACGGGTTGCATAGCAGTGTCTGGGTTCAATTCCCCAACTTGACGTTGTATGTTGTATGTGAGTTGCTT